AGATACATTACCTAAAACATCGTCCTTTGGCGAATATTTAGCGGCTCCGTCTTAACTCTCACTAACCGTTTATGCTTGTTACTAGTTTAATCTTGGTATCTGATGCCTTGTGTGTAAACTAAACTATAGACGTGAAATACTCTTGCAGCATATCCACATGCGGCCGCTTGGTGTCAATGTAGCCACTTTTCAAGTGTTCTCATTGCACGTCATTACAAACGAATTGGTGTCAACTTTCCATGTGCTTTGCTCGACCCTGGTATCCGATGTTATCGGCCTCATTTATCGACCTTTGTTGTCTTCCGATACCTATGTGCTTTATGCTTGCTCGTTACCCATGTACTTAAGCATTGCACGCGTCCAAAAGCATTTTGAGTGCAAAGCTAATGAGCCGGACACCCACCCTCCGCCAAGCTATGTTCAACCGTTTGCTGGTGCTTCTAATAGAATATCGCAGTTGCGCCCGTAATTCCGACCTTATATTTAGAAATTGAGCGTCTGCCATCAGTATTGCTTCTCCAGCTTCTCCAAATACGGCTTAGCCGCAATGTCTATTAATAAACTGGTGTGTCAAGTAGAAGGCAATTTGTGAAGTAATAAAAACATTTAGGCACTTAGTTCGCTACTTTGTGCTAGCTCTAACCCTATCCTTGTAGACGCTTTTGGAAGCTGCTTGGTGACGTCACCGGTACTCGACGTAAACATAGCCCGCAATCACGTAGCACGTCCTTCGGCATGCAGTGGCGTAGGAACTTCAACACTCCTTTGTCGCTTTTCCATTATTGGCATGGATCGAACGCCGCTTGCATTTCGACGAAGCTTGAGTTTATAGGCTTCGTCATCATGTCTGCTAACTGCTTCTTCGTGCTGATTTACCTTACTACGATCGTATCTCGGACCACGTTTTCCAGAATGAAGTGGTGCCGGTTATCAACATGCTCTATTTGAGCATTGTATCCTACATTGTCTGCAAGCGCGACGACGCCTAGGTTGTCCTTGAAGATGAAAGTCGCTCCGGCTTGTTCATGGCTGAGGTCTTTGAGCATAGCTCGTACACAAGCTAAGCGTCATGAATACGGCTACTGCTGAGCTGAAAGCTACTGTGCGTTGATACTTTGACTTAAAACCTACAAAAGCGTGTCCAATTATTACCATGATCACCGACACAGAGCGTCGGTCGTCGATTTCACTGCCCCAGTCGACATCTGTGTATGCCACAACGTCTAAGTCACCCATGCTTCCCTTGTAGACAAGTCCATGCTCTTGCGATGTCCTCAGATATCGAGCTACACATATGGCGTTCTTTCAATGCCGTTGGCCCGAACTCTCAAGGCGACGCGATAGCTGAGTAATGACGTATAAGACGTCAGGACGAGTGTACGTCGTGATGTAGAGAAGGCATCCGATGAGCGACCTGTTTGGCTTCGAACGCATCTCGTCTTGCCAAACATCGGTCGTCGGAGACTGCAGATTAGACAGCCTTAGTCCCGATTCGCATGGATCCCGACCGCTTTGGAAAACTGCTGGTTAAATTGCTCCACCACGTCGTTGATGTAACGAGTCTGTTTGATGATGAGAGTCTTCTTCGCCCAAACATGATTTATTGTCATCCCTTGGCCTCACCGAGCTCTTTCATCTTGAATGATTTCGTGAACGCTGTCTTGACTCCTTTTGTCTCTATGTTCGTTTTAAAAGCAGTGATCATGTCATCAACATTACACCAAGTTTGACATCTATTTCTAAACGTATACGCGCTAGTCGGCTCTACAGCTCTTGAATCCGATCTGTTCCACGCGCAAGCTGCTTGTTTTAGGCTGTGTATTGCTTTATTAGGTTAGCAGATGCAGTTCTTGACGTTAGTTACACCGTGTGGCACTTCCATGTACACGCATTCCTCCATATTATTGCTTAGAAACCAGCGTCGGCATCTAACTGTTCGGTCACATAACCCTCAGTCACAACAAGTGTCATCGCCATTCGAATTGAATGCATGTTGGTTCCCGGCGAGAAAGTTTTGAAGCTGTCGACACCAAACTTTTGTTTGAAGCGCTTGGCTACAAGCCTAGCTTTATACCTTATCACTTGCCCGCTCTCAGTTCGCTTCTTTGCAAAGATCCACCGATATCTAATTGGGTGCATAACCACATTTCATGACACCAAGGTCATTATCCATAAAACTCGTGCTCGATCACTTCAGTCATCATGGTTTTCATCGATTTTGGTGCATCTTGACTTGTCATGACCTGCTAAGATGTGGTTGGGGCATCATCTGCATTCCCGACCTTTGCAGCATACTTCAGAAACTAGACCGTCTTCATCAATGGGAGGTCCTTGAGGCGATGAAGTCCAGAACTGGTCATCATTGCTAGGATCGCTTTTATCGTCTTCAACAATACCTTCAATATTGATCGGGTTGGGACCTGTCAAGCTGGGGTTTGTACTGCTGTTACCCGAAAGCATGATCAAATAGCGTTCCCGATGTCTCCGCGCTATGTGTGGATAGAACATCATGCCCTAGTTGGTGTCCGATGTTTTCGGCTTCATTTGTTTACCCTTCGTTGTCTTTCCAAGCATGTGTGCCTTATACTTGATCAAATAACATGTGCAAGCGTCCGAAAACTTCTTGGATGCAGAGCATACGAACTAGACACTCGGCATTCGCCAAACGTTTGCTAGTACTTCATATAAAATACCACTGGTACTCGTGTAAATCTAACGTTATCTCCAAGAATTAAGCGTCTGCAATCGCTATGCTTCTCCAGCTTTTCCAAAATACGCCTTCACTGCAATCTTATACTGCCTTGAGCACGAAATCATTTCTGAGTCTTCACGCAGCGTAACGAACGGATAGTTGAAATCTGATGTTGTATGTGAAGTTGTCCGGAAGAAGTGACTACTATGAGCTATGACATCGCCAAATGACACTCTTCCATTGTAGGCGACTGCCGCTGACAATAACTTTAATGCTGGCGCGAACAGGTTGCTCACACTCTTGTTATCTCTCTGACCAGATCGCTCGCCCACGTCGTCAATCCAGTACATCTGCTTGGTCACAATAAGCCGACTTGTCGTATTCAATCTTCACCACGCCCAGATTTTTCATCTCGAATGCAATATTGAGCACTTCATTGACCTTAATGAGCTCCTTACTTTTGTTGTTGCGACATCATGTCATACGTTTAAGGCGCAACGAGGATATAATTCAGGCATAATAAAACTGCTCCTGCAAACGTTAGCAATATAAAAGATATTCTGTATCATCTTGTACCAAACACTTGCTGCTTGTTTCCACTCATAAATAGCTTTGTTTAGCAAGCATTGTCGACACCCAGCGGAACTTCCATACAAACGTTATCTGTCAGCGCATAGCTCCGAGTGGGCAATATCGACATTCAACTGCTCCATTTGGTGAGCACATGGCAAGTATCATTCGGATTAAATATATGCTGGTAATCGGTAAATAATTTTTGGAGAACTTCGGTTGTTAAACCGTCACAACAAATGGTGTCTCTACTGCACGACAGCGCCAATTTTATATACAACAACCCACCGCAATCCAGTTAAGGACTTGTCAATCGTCAGGGTGTTGATGTCCGTGCTGGTATTTAAAGAAGATCTCGGCTTCCATAGCTCCACGACACTCTACTGAATCGTCGCTGCCATCGATTGAGCATATATAATCGATCAGCCCGTAGTATTCTCACTTATCATCGTGTACGCGACAACAGCGACCACAATGACTTTTTTTTGTAGTTTATTCAATGTTGATGAACCATCACTACCTGCTTTTAAGATTGCGTCATCTGAGCCAGTTATAAATATCATTATTGAGCCACAAACTCCGAAAATCCAAATGATCTTTTATTTGCGTATAAGAAGGTAGTTAGTACTCTGCTAGCACCAACTTATCTCCAACAGAGCGTTTTAAAAGCATCAGCAGCTGAAATAAGACGCTTGATGTAGGGTTTCCATCGTTTATTCTGATGGCTGCGTTTTTTATTCGATAGCACCCATGCATCCGTCTACAACTGGCAAAAGACCCAGTTAATTCTTAGCAGAGACTTTATCACTCTTATGTATATCTTCAATGATCGCTTCAGCCTTACGCTCGTACATCGGGTCACTTTGACCATGACATTCTCCAAGTCAAACACGCGGTACTCCTAGCTCTTGGGTTCTAGCTTTGCTCTCTTCGCATGGTCGACATGAAGAGAACGTCACAATTTACAAACGCGTAATTTGTCGACTGGGGGATTTATATTTAATGCCAGCTCATACGGTATGCGATGTGATACGATTTTGGCTGTATACATCGAGCGACTAAATGAACCAAATGTACTGCTGCATTCACCACTCCCACCAACCTACATTCAGAATTCTTTTGTTGTATAGCATACCGTGTGCCTTTTCTATGATATCTGTACATGCGCTCCATAACCCCGGTCGATAAGAGCTATGCAAAACGTTAAGCTTGTGGATGATGCCGCTTTGACGACATATGTCTATCATCGTCTTGATGTCATTTTTTCCGTGGTCGGATCACAAACACTTTACACGAACACTCCATAGATTCCTTCAGCTTGCAAGTTGCTTTACTCTTGCTCTTGGTTAAATGAATTGCACGAAATCGAGCATATACTATGCATCTCCCTTCGATAAATTATGCTCTGGCACTTTTTATAATGGTGTGCATACGCTCTAGTACAAGCTTCGTCTTTGCCATTGAACATACGAGAAATCTGATCACAGTCTACCCACTGATTGATCACTGGGCACATGATGTTCCTGCCTCTTGCTTGATCACCTGGATGTATTTGGTTGAGGGTTGCGTCTTTAATCAAGCGCCTATCTTCTGGTGTCCCATGCTAGAAGGCCAACCTCCCATTGAGTGTCAGTTCGGGATTATTCCACTCGACATGCTTTTTCCTACTCAGTAAAAGTTTACGCTTTCTCCGTCGTACTCATGTAAACGCTTCTTCTTTGTTCGAGGACACACGATGAATGCAAAATTTCTACCCCCATACCGTGGTTCATAGATATGATTTGACGCCAATGAAAGCCAAGTGGTGTATCTACCACTTACACCCTATAAAATATCGATCAAAAAAAATTTAAGAGGCAAAATCATCAGGTGATAATTTTTGAATAAACGGCTTTAGATAAGATACAGCTTTGCAGGACCAATTTGCCACTAGCTTTGGCATTATTGCCAACAAGCAATAATCTTCTGCGATGTCCTACGATATGTAAAGTTTCAATAAAGCAAAGCTTTTTCTACCCTAGACGATCACTGTCACCGTATTAGCTAGCTTGTTGAAAGAATTATGTTCTACCGCCTGCAGTAGCTAATTTGATGCGTATCAAGATTCTATAATTCGAACAAGTTATTCCATAAAATTATTGTGGGATGTAGCACCCTGTTGTTAGGTCATTTTGACCTTTATCCTTCTTCCACCGCAAATCTTGCATCACCAATAGTAAATCGTTTTTTCTACCGACCAGACATTTCTGATTAACCTGGTCGCAGCTCTAATTTGCTCTTAATCACCCCGTTATTGCGTAATGCGAATCCGCAAATTGCTTCGTCTACCTGTCAATCTTACGTCCATCCCATTTAAGCAAAACGCTTTTTTGTGGCATTTATCCTGCACAGCTTTTCTGATTCTTTTATCAGTTGATTTTTGATCTCGATCATGATGATGTGCTAAGGATTTCCACACGCAATGAAATCAATTCAAATTCCGATGACAGCCCGCTAAGATAAACTCTCTGGAACAAGAGGCCAAATGGCTCTTCCGTTGTTTTGGGTGTCGTAGTCAAGTCATCAAAAGCGACCAAGATACTTAAATACCTTTTTTAATCTTGAAGTCGCAAGGTCGACGCGCTAAAATCACGCGCTTGTGCAACGATTATCCAATCTGCACTTGTTCCCCAAAGCATGATATGGCGTCCATTGTCGACCATGATACGTTCTGATGTTGAAGCGTGACACGTTGCGCTTCAAGATCAGAGCGTAATACAGTAGACAAAGGACGCCATAAATGGCTTGGAGAATAAACTTCAACATTTACGCATCTCTTACAAGCTACGTCGACGTGGTGCCGTTTTCATCCTTGACGTCCATGACGTGACCCACAAGATATCCTTGTCGGAGTCATCTTCATATTAAACAAGCATTGGTAATAGATATCACTCCGCAGACGGACATCGGCGCGCAAGTTCGCTATCTTCGTGACGAACTGTTTTAGATCTTAGTAGTTGCAATCAAAAACTTAATCTGCTGATTAAAACCGAAGTCAGATCTTAATAATCGTTCCATGTCGTGAATGCCATAAATGTTTCGTCACGTATTGCTGCGTCATATATTTTATTGCTAGTACTTTACCGCAATGATGAGCGATCTGATCGACAAACTATAAATAAGACGTCAAGCCTCTGGCTAGCAACACCTAAACACCGTGCAATTGAAT